CCCCAAAACCCCAAAACCCCAAAACCCCTGCAATTTGAAATATTAAAAATATTGTATACTATTTATTAATAAATGAATTAGAAAAAGCGATTAGCCAAGTAAAACCACAAAGAGTACATCAAGTACTTGCAAGATTCGCAAAAGGAAAAGATTGATCCACTTGATCAGGACTTTTTAGCGTTTGAATCAATTTCAGATTAAAATGCCAGGTTGGCTGAGGAGTAGAAGAAAGAAACCATTGTGGATTTGGAAACTAGAATCGCTTCTAAGTTCAACAGAGAAGATGAGTACCCTTGGCTAACTGATGACACGCTCAAAATCAGAGATGCCTAGATATTCTTACACAACGAGATGCTGGACTTCATGAGGTACTTTGAGCGAACAGACTAGGATCATGAACTTAGAAGAAAGGTTGTGGGGAAGATCAGTAATATAATAAAGGAATGTTACCCTGAGTCTTAGGTGATGATATTTGGTTCATGTGCCACTGGACTAGATCTTCCCAATTCTGATGTTGATATGCTAGTCTACTACCCTGACTAGAGAGAACAGACTATGATTAACAGACTCTCAGGGGCTTTAATGAAGCAGAAGATTTGTAAATCATTAGAACCCATCAAGCATGCTAAGGTGCCTATTATAAAACTGCAAGAAAAAGAGACTCTTTGTAATGTTGATATCAGTTTTAACAGGACTAATGGAGTCTACTGTGTGAAGCTAGTCAAAAATCTGATGCTAAAGTACCCGGAGTTGAAACCACTTATGATTGTCATTAAAGCATTTCTTAAGTGCAGAAATCTAAATGAAACCTACTCTGGGGGTGTCTCCTCATTTTTACTAACAATGATGGTTACCAGCTACCTTTAGATTTGCTATAAAAAAGGAAATACAGATAAAACCGACCTAGGTAAACACTTAATTGACTTTTTCGAACTATATGGAACTAAATTTAATTACGAGGAGATAGGCATATCTATTAGAGGTGAAGGGTATTATTTTAAAAAGATAAAAAGAGGGTGGTACAATTATGAGGAGAATAAGAAAGGAAGACTCTGCGTAGAGAATCCTTAGGAACCCACTGTAGACATTGGGTTCAATGCTTATAACATAAAGAGAGTGCAAAGAGCATTCTAGCATGCCTATGATAGTTTGATATACAATAATTCCAACACAGTCAGCATTCTCAAGCTTTTGATTACATCTAATATTAGTGAGTTCAGGTTATAGCAATAATAAGTTGTTGACTTGCAGTGATATTATTACCAGAGGCCTAAGATTTTGATTTAATTAAATAGCATTTAATTTATTAGAAATATTGATTGCAAACTATAAAAGACAGAATGGGGTTTTGGGGTTTTGGGGTTTTGGGG